CATGTGGCCCCTAGTTTCGAACATCCCTCAAAGTACCCTCGATGGGAAAATAAGTCAGTGGCACAAAACCTTCATTCCTCAAAGTGCCCTCGATGAGAAAAGAATGTGACAACGGAGGTGGAAATATTTTTCTAAAGCCATAGATCTCGGGTGCAACAGGCTCAGCCGACACATCCTCTCTGAGCCCCGGCCTGGACTTGTCTTGCTATAAGCACCATTGCCCTATGAAGGCCCTTTTTGCTTATTATTATCGTTCTGTAGCCTGGAAGGTGGCGATCCTTCTCCCTCTCCGAGAGGGCACGGTCTCGTCTCAAAGGATTCCTTGATGCCTACAGTGACGGGGTTAGTACGCGTAAAAAGAAAGTGCCCTTCAAAAAGGAGCAATCACATAGCACGTACCATGGTGTTTGGCCTCCCATCTGCCCTTAGACAAAGCTCATCACTTACGCTCATTATAAGTCGAGCGAGTCGCCAGCTCCCGATCCTAGTCCGTCAGGTCGGGGACCTCGCACAGCATTCATGAAATTGCTGTAGAAAGGGAAAGGGAGGTGCATTTACAGAACCCACCTGCTCCATAAGCATATCACTTACGCATAAAATTCCATTCCTCGGGAAATGGCAGAAATTCTATAGGATAACATCAACAGTTCATGCTCGGATGAATCGGCTCATCCATCCCTGATCCCCGCCTTCTCCATCATCAATAATGAAAGGCGTGGTGGATCGGCATCATAGGGTCAGCAGACCTCGATGGTGAAAAGGCCAATACAGCCTGATGAGATGATTAAGAGTGAATTCGAGCCTTGCTTCTTCCGCGAAGAACCTAATCATCAACACTATCCTCCAAAATGACGGGTGAACCTGTGCCAAGGTAACCTGGTACTTTCGACAGAAATCAAGCACAACCCTATCAGAGAGTCCCAGCGTGAAAGGGTACGTGTATACGTTCAAAAACCCCTCGGTGTGATCCATGATGTTCTCTCCCGGGGAAAGTACCCACGATACTACCTTTTCCCCCCATCCACAATTTTTCCTCGCTAACTCAAGGTGCCCCACTCCTACTAGAGAAATAAACTTCAAGACATACTCCCAATGACCCTGAGCATTTTGGTTCAAAAAGCCTTCAAGGGTGGAACTTCCCTCTCCTTGCCGAGCAGACCTTGGTGTGGCAGCCATAATTGTGGTAAAACTAGGGAATTCGAGAAAGGGCTTTAAAGTTGAAATGGTGAAGGTCCTAATGCAGGAAAGGAACGATATATAGAGGAGGATAACTACTCGGAATAGCGGAACCCTCAAAAGAAAGAATACAACCCTATATGTGGAGAAAGCGGCGACTATCTGCCTACCTCAAAAGCCAATTAAAAATACTAACTAAGCTATTTTCCTCTTTGGTAAGATGTACCAACGGAACTGCCTTGGTCGCTTCATAACTGTGTCATGCAATTAACGCTGCCATACAATATTTCAGGGATCAAAAACACCCCACATCATCACAAGCCTCGAGATGGTACCCGATCTCGAGGACTTCTATCAAAAACAAGATAGGCTCCAGGAACCCATTGACATCATTACAAGCCTCGAGATGGTACCCAATCTTGGGGACTTCTACAAAAAGAAGATAGGCTCCAGAAAGCCATTGACATCATTGCAAGCCTCGAGATGGTACCCGGTCTCGAGGACTTCTGCCAAGAAGAAAATATGCTCTAGGAGCCATTTATATCATTATAAGCCTCGAGATTGTACCCGATCTCGAGGACCTCTGCCAAGAAGAAGATATACTCTAAGGAGCCATTTATATCATTATAAGCCTCGAGATGGTACCTCGATCTCGAGTACCTCTTCCAACAAGAAGATATGCGTTAAGGAGCCATTTATATCATTATAAGCCTCGAGATGGTACCCGATCTCGAGGACCTCTGCCAAAAAAGAAGATATTCTCTAAGGAGCCATTATATCATTATAAGCCTCAAGATGGTACCCGATCCGGAGGACCTCTGCCAAGAAGAAGATAAGCTCTAAAAACCTACTCATATGCGTTTGAGCTCGAGGTGGTATCATATCTCGAGAATTTCTGCTATTGCAAGTGCGGATTGTCTACCTGATTTTCCGGACCTCGAACTACCTAAGCTCGAGCCAACTCCTGCTCAAAAACTACCAATGAAGCCTTAGGGCTATCTTTTGCCTTCAGATCAAGTTAAACGTTTTCTCGGTTACTTTAACCTAGGGGCTATTCAAGTCTAGGCGTACCCTCATCTGAGGTCTATCTGCAATGCCTTGAGGCTATATTCTCTCTAAGTTCAAAATAAGTTTCCAGGTCACCCGAGTTTGAGCGAACTCTTACCCGGGGACTGTTTTCGAAAGCCTACAAGCTATTTTATTTTGAGATGTCCGAGAAAGTTCCCCTCGAGTACAATCACCAGGGCCTAAAAAGTTAATTTCGTTCTAAAGATGTCAAATCCCTAATCCTACTCAACTCGAAGTTAGGGGCCCCGGCGACCTGAGTTTGTCAATCCAGTCGGGGCTCAGTCTGAGGATCGGCAAGGGGTTCCATGGGATATAATATTGATCAACTAGGAACTAGGGAAATACTTACACCCGAGCTCGGTATTCGTGCCGATCGGTAAACTCATGCATTCAGATTTTTGACAAATGCAGATAAGGGGAAATATAGCATAAATCAGAGACAAATAGAAGAAACATCTTTGTATTCATAAATGCATGATGACAAAAGCCCACTAAATGTCCTTACACATGATTACAAAAGCCAACGAAGGGACCTTACATAAAAAAAAAGAAACAAAGCAGCAGCTAAAAGTCTAATCTACTCTCGAGGGTACATCCTCGGGAGCAGTGCCTTCATGAATCATTTCTTCTAGGCTTCATCTCGACCTCCCCAACGGTGTCTTAAAAGACGAGGAAGAGGTTGTAAGACGAGGCAGAATAAGTAGAAAAAGATAAAGAAAAAGTCGTAGCTCGCCAAAGAGCAAAAGCTTTACCAGGCAAAGAAGATCACGACCTGATAGAAGACATGGCGAGCGTTGGCCTTACCTGCACGGATAATTTGGGTCCACTTCTTGGAATATTGTGTCGTGCAAGCTAGTGGCCGATAGTTCCACTTCACCCCACGAAAAGAAAAAGGGATGAAGTGTCACACCTGGCCGGAGTAGGGAGGTGAGCAGCGGTGTAAAGTCCGAACATCCTCCTGAGCAGCAGTGTAGAGTCCAAATATCTTCCCGAGTTGGAAGAAATTGGTGCCCTTATCTCATTACCTCGGTCCAACAACAATAACGACAACAACAAATCAGTACAATCTCGCCTAGGAAGGGAATGCTCTGGAAAGAGGCCATGGCGTAACTGATGAGGACACTGCCATGTAACCTTAAGGCCACGGGCCTCAAACATGGAAAATAACAATGAATGAAGATGAAAAGAATAAAGGGGTAAAGGGTTGTTGAAGAACATTGGAATGAAGTTTTGATTCAGGAAGGCTTCCATTTATAGGAAGGGTGGCAGCGTAACTGACGGTGCAATCAATGTCTTTGAAAGACGTACCGACAGGTGCAATCAATGAGTTTTGGGAACTGGACCAGCGACGATATTATCACTTTGGATAATATGAATTGGTGATACATCGAACGATCGTGGAAAGGTACATTGAATGGTTCTGGAAAGGTGAATTGACGGGATGCCTCAGTTATCACAAAGGCTAGCGTCATGAGTATGACGTCATCGCGGTAAGGTCGAGGAAATAGATATCGATGTCATTTCTTATCGTTTCTCTCTATTAAATGTGGGGACTATCTGTATACGGTAAAATCGGAGGGTCCAATTTCGGTCACTACAACTCTTCAAAAGCACGTTTCTATAGGCTCGAGATTATGGTTGAGATTAACACTCGAGGGGTTATCGACGTCCAGCCTTGAGGCAGTGCGTACCGATTAAGTCATGATGAAAAAGTGAGAGGCTCCCAAAGCACGCAACTAGAGCTGACAAAGTCTAGTAGGCTGGTTCAGACCCAAATCAGGGCATTAAGTGGCTGCACCAGCCCTATATCTTTTCAATAAATGTATTTGTACTATGTTGGGATTCCCCTTCATATATATAAAGGGGATCCTTGCCATTTTATAAATATCTGATGCTCAATATTGAATATACAAGAACATTTTCTCTACTCTCTAACATATTCTCTTAATCTCATTACTTGCATTTACTACTTATACCCATTGTGTTCTATTTATTGTTCTTGATTTTATTGCTTATTATTGGCCATAAAGATCTGTCATTGATTTTTTTGTAATTGTTAATCCTCCCTTCTGTAGCTCCTATCCGAACATCAGACTCGACCTCGAGGCCCCGAATAAGCAAGCTCGAGGCCCCGATTGTCAGCCATCCGGTTAGGTTATCATCTTGTTTTCAAGCTCTTATTTTGTTTCAAGTATCTCACTTAGCATCTATTGCCTAAACAACTAGCATAAAAATAGATAACCTATTTTTAGAACCATAGAATCAAATTTAATTGTAATTACCATTTTCAAGGTAAACACTGTGACATGTTTTTACGGCCACAGCAATGTTATGGCATGTTTAAGACAAAGAATTCCAAAAACTTTCTTTTGATCTTTCTTGAACGTCGTATCCATCCAAATATTATCATATAAATTGAAACATAGGGAATATGATTTTCTTGGAAGCTTCTGAATCTGAATCTTCAAACTTGCTCGAAACTAATTTAAAACTTCTTTGACCTGATTAAGTAATTTAAATTCAGCATTACTCGATGGCATTTGTGTTTGCTCCTATTTTTTATTTAATTTAGGATTACATATTCCTTCTGTTAGTTTTTGTAAAAATGTATACTTGCATAAGAATATCCAGAATATGTTGTTGACCTCAGTTACCAATATTATTGACAGGAACTCATACTTGCTACGGTGGATAATACTTCAAATGCAGTTGAATGGACAATTAGAGAAATGCTAAACCAACCAAAGATAATGCAAATGGCCATAGAAGAGATTGACCTAGTCATTGGGAGTAGTAGATTAGTTCAAAAATATGACTTGCCACAGCTAAATTATGTCAAAGCTTGCATAAAAGAGGCCTTTCGACTCCACCCCATATCATCTTTTAATGTTCCTTATGTATCTGTTTTTGATACTATTGTGGGTGAATACTTCATTCCTAAAGGAAATGTGGTTCAATTAAGTCGTATTGGACTTGGTCGGAATCCTAGAGTTTGGGAAGATACTATGAAATTCAAGCCAGAGCGTCATGTCAATGAGGAAAGTAGAGAAGTAGTTCTTACTGATTCAGAGTTACGTCTATTATCATTCAGTATTGGAAGACGAGGTTGTCCAGGTATGCAACTTGGTTCTACAATTACCATCATGTTAATTGCTAGGCTTCTTCAAGGTTTTACTTGGAGTTTACTGCCAAACTCTCCAGGCAATGACTTAGTTCAGAACTTAAAATGTGATCTCTCTTCTCCCATGCCATTATTTGCTCAGGCAAAACTGCGATTATCTAAGGGCATGTACCTTTAATTGTGTAAAATTATACCATATGTATAAAGCATTATGTGGTCGTTCATATAGACACGCATGTATATAAAACGTTTTATTTAATGCTGCTGTAATTCATAAGAGGATGAGTAAAAGTATTTTGGGTACCAATGGGGCTTCCTTGAGATGGATGTAAGCATCCACCATATTTCTCCACAAGTATTGTCCCAAGGCTTCGTACCCAATGGTGTTCATAGGGTTGAAGGCAAAGATTATTTATCCCTGAATTCCCTGCACATTCTTCTCGTTGATCCTCTGTGATGACCCTAAAAGTCATTCTTGTTTTAGAAATCAAATATGCATTCTGAAGCCTTAAAAATCTCTTTTTGTCTCACCTTGATTTGAGTGCGTAGTCTGGGTGCGTTTTTGAAAAGCTTTTATGTGAAATTTAAGAAAAATAATGAATTTGGCCTTTAAAATTGAATAAAGTTGACTTTGGTCAATATTTTTGGTAAAAAGACCGGGGCCCGTGATCTGATGGACCCGTAGGGTCCATAATAAAATACGAAACTCGGGCATATGCACGAAATTGAATTCTGAGGTCCCTAGCCCGAAAAAAGAATTTATAAAGAAAATTGTTTGCTGGAAAATATAAAGGCTTTAGAAGTGAAATGATGCGTGTTCTTGATGGTATTGGGCCCGTATCTTGGTTCCGGAGTCCGGTACAGGTTTAAAATAATAATTAAGTCGAATATATGAAATTTGGTAAGAATCAGAGTTGATTTGGTATAAATCAGACCTTTAGTTGAGAAAATGGGAATTTCAATGTTCTTAAGGAATTTCATGAATTTGAAGTTAAATTCGTAGTTGTTGATGTTATTTTGATGATTTGATCGCATGAGCAAGTCCGTATGATATTTTTAGACTTATGTGCATGGTTGCTTTGAAGCCCCGAGGGCTCGGGTGAGTTTTGGATAGGCCACGGGGTGATTTGGACTTATGAAATTGTAATTGTGCATCTGGTATTTTTGCCCAGGCCTCTGATCTCGCAATTGCGAATTGGTCAGGCTTGGGAAATGCGACCAAAGTGTCGCAATTGCGAACCAAGCCTGGGCAGGCCCTCATCGCAAATGCGAACACTGGGCTAGGAATTGCGAAGGCCCTTCATCGCAAATACGACGTCCCCTTCACAAATACGAAGATATCAGGATTTCAAAGGCTTCGCACTTGATCGCAATTGCAATAACTGCACCTGTTAAGTGGGATTTCAGACGGGATTTTTCATCATTTTACAACTTTCTCAAACCCTAAACATACTTAAGGCGATTTTTCAAAGGCTCAAACTTTTCCAAATCATAAGTAAGTGATTTCTAACTCATCTTCTTCAATCTTATCCATCTTTTTACATAATTTCAATTAAAAATCTAGGGTTTTTCATGGGAAATTGGGTGTTTTTGGGTAGAAATTAGGATTTTCAAATTTTGGGGATTTGGACCTCAATTTGAGGTCGTATTTCAAAACTAATTGTATATTTAAGTTTGTGAGTGAATGGGTAATTGGGTTTTGGTTCGAACTTCGAGTTTTGGCCAAGCAAGCTTGGGGTCGATTTTTTACTTTTTGGGGGAAACAATGGAAAATCTATTTTCATGCATTAGAAATGATTTATTTAGCATTTATTGATGTTATTAAGTAAATTATGACTAAATACAAGTGGATTGGAAGTGGAACCGAGAGGTAAAGCGGTAATTGAGGGTTAATGTTGTCCGGGGAATTGAGATAAGTGTTTGGCCTAACCTTAGCTTGAGGGAATAAGAGTTGTGTCTTATTTGCTATGTGTTAGTATGAGTACGACGTATTGGTGTGGTGACGAGTATCTATATGTTGGTGTCAAGCATGCACGTGAGTCTTATATCATGATTGTTGTGACTCTATTATGTATCGATCATGCTCAAATTGATGATTATCAATGTTGAACAAAGTTTATGAAAGTTTCTTGGTAATTGACTATTGTTGAGTATTGGCTCAAGTTGAGTTTCATTTTGTAAAGTAATCATTGAAAACGAGATTGGTTATAGTTGAATCCCTTGCCGGGATATTATTGTTAATATTGTCGATTCCCTTGCCGGGACGTATTGTTTCTATTATTTGGGTGAGGAAGAGTGTAAAGCACGAAGGGTGATGTCGTGCATGATATTGTGAGTGAGTGTAATGCACGAAGGGTGATGCCGTGCCGATATTATGAAAGATAATGCAGGAAGGGTGATGTCGTGCCATGATTTGAGAGTTAATGCACGAAGGGTGATGCCGTGTTGATATTGTGAGGAATAATGCAGGAAGGGTGATGTCATGCCATGATTATGAAAGGTAATGCATGAAGGGTGATGCCATGTCGTTTCAGTTGTTTCATATGGTGAGGACGAGAGTAAAAGCATTGTGCACGTGTTACCGTTTCATTATTCTTGTTGATATAGATATGATGTTCATTATGCTTCTTTATAGATGCTTCTTTGTTGGTTTATTGTTAGAATCTGATATTCCCCGCAGCACGCCCCCTTCCCACCTTATTCTGTTGATTCATGTTACTATGATTCTATTTGTATATGATTTAACTGCACAGGTTTATATGGTTGTCATGTCTTAGCCTCGTCACTACTTTGCCGAGGTTAGGCTCGACACTTACTCAATACATGGGGTTGGTTGTACTGATGCTACACTTTGCACTCTTTTGTGCAGATTTCGTTACCGGACCTAGTGAGTAGCTGAGGTAGTTGCCTTTAGTCCAGGGAGACCAAGGTAGATCTGCTGCAGTTTGTAGAGCCTAAAGTCTCCCTTCCCTATTTTAGCTTTATGTTGTCTCTTTTCATTTCGAATACAGTTATACTTTTCTTTTCAGACCAATGTTTGTAGAAATTCGTAAATGTTCGTAAATTTGTGACACCAGATTCGTGGGTAGACATGTATTGAATTATTTGAATTTGTTATAACTCTTCCGCATTTTTCATCTGTTTAAATTTAGTTATTGTTTATATCTGTTTGGGTTGACTGCTAATGGGTTAAAACGTTAATAGTTGGCTTGACTAGCTTTCATGAGTAGGGCCCATCACGGCACCTGAGGGTGGAAAATCTGGGTCATGACAAATTGGTATCAGAGCTCTAGGTTGCCTAGGTCTCACAATTCATGAACAAGCTAGGTAGAGTCTGAGGGATCGGTACGGAGACGTCTATGCTTATCCCCCAAAGGCTACAGAGTTTAGGAAAACTTCACATCTATTCTTTCCTATCGTGCCACTTGATTTCTCTATACTAATTGAACTTCTACTATGTCCTTTTGTAGATTGCGAGAACACGTGCTTCTTCATCCGCTGATTAGCAGCCTGAGCCCCTAGTGGTAGCTCCTACGAGGGGTAGAGGAAGAGGTCGAGGCTGTGCTAGAGGCTGAGGTAGGGGTAGGGCTCAGCCTAGAGCAGAAGCACTAGCGGCGGAGCCTCAGGTAGAGTTTGAAGAGAAGGCTCCAGCCCAGACAGTTCCAGCAGGACCAGCTCAAGTCCCAGAGGGGTTCATCGCTACCCCGGTACTCCAGGATGCTCTTGTCCGTCTAGTGGGCCTTATAGAGAGTGTAGCCCAGGTAGGCTTACTTCATGTACCACTAGCCGTCTCTCAGACTGGGGGAGGAGCACAGACTCCCACTACTCGCACTCCGGAGTAGATGGCTCCTCAGTTTCAAACTCTAGCAGCTCAACCAGTTAGGGTAGTTCAGTCGGGTGTGGTAGCTCAGACCGGTGATGGAGCAGCTATGTCTGCTGATGCTTTGTAGAGGTTGGACAGGTTCACCAAGCTCTTCACTACTACTTATGGTGGTACATCTTCAGAGGATCCCCAGGACTATTTGGACAGTTGTCATGAGGTTCTACAGAACATGGGGATAGTGGAGACCAATGGGGTCGACTTTGCTGTTTTCTGTCTATCAGGTTCCGCCAAGACTTGGTGGAGAGATTATTGTTTGGCTAGACCAGTTGGGTCACTGTCTTTGACTTGGGATCAGTTCTCTCAGCTATTTCTGGAGAAGTGTCTACCTATCACTCTGAGGGAGGACTATCGGAGGTAGTTTGAGCGTCTCTAGCAGGGTTCTATGACCGTCACTCAGTACGAGACCAGATTTATTACCTTGGCCCATCATTCTCTTATTATACTTCCCACTGAGAGAGAGATAGAGGTTGAGGAGGTTCATCGAGGGACTCGCTCAGCCTATTCGACTACAGATGGCTAAGGAGATAAGGAGCGAAATTGCTTTTCAGGAAGTGGCCAATGTGGCCAGGAGTAGAGATGGTTCTATCACAGGGGAGTAGTCAGGGGTTCAGTGGTGCCTCGTCTGGAGGCAAAGATTCTTTTGGTAGAGGCCATCCTTCCAGGCCGTTTCATTCAGCACTTCAGACTTCTCATGGTGTTCCAGGTGGCCGTGGTTCTCATATGTTGTATTCATATCAGCTACCTTACAGTGCATCACTAGCTCCTATCAGTGCACCACCGCTCTAGAGTTTTCAAGGTGGTTACTCAGGCCGTCAGGGTCAGTAGTCCCAGAAGCTAAGGGCTTGTTATACTTGTGGCGATACGAGGCATATTACTAGATTTTTCGCTCGAGCTCCGAGCAGCTCTCAGCATCAGGGTTCCCGTGCCATTATTTAGGCACCGAGTGTTCCACCACCTGCTCAGCCAGCTAGAGGTAGGGGCCGAGGTGTTAGAGGTGGAGGTCATACCGTTAGAGGTAGAGGTCAAGCATCTAGAGGTGGAGGCCAGCCAACAGGAGGCCGTCCTTGGGATGTAGTTCAGAGGGGTAGGGCCCAGCCCTGATGTTATGCTATTCCAGCCATACTTGAGGCTGAGGCCTCCGATGTAGTTATCACAGGTACGGTTTCAATTTGCAGTAGAGATGCTTCAATTCTATTTGATCCAGGGTCCACATATTCCTATGTATCATCTTATTTTGCCCCTTATCTTGTTATGCCTCG